GATCGATTCTCCTCTAACAAAGATTCAGCATCAACTGTAGTTTTTAGATCTCTATCTTTATTTTTAAAACCAATTTTAGACTCATTTGAATCTTCATTAGATGTATCAGAATAAATTGGTAATCTGAGTGGTTGACGATCCTCTTCGATAAAATGAAGGTATCTTTGCAGTGTTTGTAAATATAACATCCATTTCTTTCGGTTTTCCGTCTTACTATTCATAATATTTTGCATTTCGATAATCGACATAAATTACTATTAACCTTATTTTCTTGTTTTAATTTTTCAATCAATCCAGGTTCGATAAGTATCATTTTCTTTGCATTATCCACGTTAACTGGCTAGTCCACTCACTAATCTACTCAATATTGCACCTAATATTAATGGTAAGAAAGCCCCTTCTTTTTGATTAATTATATTTTTTCTTATTTTATGTTTACACTTACGCACTAGTTTACGGAGTATATTTTTGTGTTTATTCAATTTTTGTTTATATTGATCTTTAAGAGGTACTCTTCCTTGTAAAACGTTATGAATACACTCACAAAGTAATTTCTTCTTCATCACATGTTTTAAGTAATGCTCTTTGATATTTTGGTTTAAGCGTATGCAAAGCGTTAGCAAATATATATGCGTTGTGAGTCGACGATGCATCATTTAGCAATGATTTGAATTGTTTGATTCTTGGTGTATTTACACTCTTTTGTGGGGACGTAGACTGTACAGAAAACATTAAATGGGAAGAAGTTTGTCTTGATACGACAAAAATCATTGGTATTCTGTTTTAAATCTACCATTAAATATCCATGAGCCTTTAGAGTTGCATCCCTGTAGGCATCTTCAATGAATTTTGGGTTATCTGGTGACACTTGTCATGCTAAATATCTTATTTGAGTTTTATCTCGTGGGTTTTTAAAATATATTATATAAATTGAGTTTGAAGATATGTCTCTTTGCCCTTTACCCTGATGAAATAAATTTTGTGTTAAATAAAATACACTGAGATTCCTGTGATGACTACCTTTTGTAAATATATCCAAAATTCTTCCATCGGACTCTCTCATTAGATCATCAATAATAACGAGATGTGGGTTTTCACCATCAAACATATTATGATTTGGAATTCTTTGATGATAGTTAACATTTGGTAAATTATATAAAGGTTGCATTTCATCAAAGCACCATGTGATCTGATTAAAATTACAATTACATATTTCTGTAACTGATTTTATGACATTTGTTACAAAATTTGACTTCCCACATCCACTTGGTCCTGCCACAATAGCAGTAAACGGATGTATAAAGTGAAACATTACACACGTCTAAAGTTCTAAGGGGTAAAATAAAAAAATGGAAGTGTTGGTGTAAACAATTAATATATGTTGTGTACTATAACTAATGTTTTGGGAAATCAAACAAAATTTATGATTAATTGAAAATTTTATTTTCAAGCAATAACCACTTGTAAAAAACCCACACTTCGTCACAAGAACAATGTAAAATTTTGTGATTATTTTTGGCAAATATATGATTATTACACACATAACGTTTGTTTAAATGTATGACATTTACCAAATCATTGTATTTTGGACATTTGTATTCTTCAATATTAAAAATTCTATAATTTGTTGTCAACATTTTTAAAAATTGTTTTTCTGTTGAACCACCTTTGTATGCGATCACTTCGTTTTTGCACAAATTTCTAATATACCAATTTAATATGGGGATGATGTTCTCTTGTTTGTAGGCACATTTTAATTCTTCGGTCACATCAAAATATGGAATACCGTGCACGTGTGTTTCACAATAACGGTTTTTTTGTCTTTTGGTGACAAATAATTGAAAGGATAACTTGGCCGAAACAAATAATAATCGATAAACGCATCATTTTCATTAGATATTTTTACGTCTAGAATAGCCATTTATCTACATTAAAAATGTTTATGAGGATATGTAATGTAAAATCCGTCCATGTCGATCATGTATCTAATATTTTTTAGATTTTGTGTCACTTTGAACCAAAATGTTAAAAGTATTTACACGTGACTAAAAATATGTTTGTTCCAACAAACTTCACATAACAACGCTTCATTACTTCCCATCATCCCATTTCTTCCTTCTGCTCTTGTCTTCCTGTAATTTAAGTAAACAGAATCACATTCACTAATGATCAACTAATGACTGTCATTGTTAAAAAAGTATTTTTAACTACTCTAGTATTCGTAGATGTGGTACACACACAATATTTAAATATAATTTGTTAACACTAAATCATACACACGTAAGAAAATAACAGAAAGAAAAGTAACTTTGTCAATAGAATAAACAGTTAAAATTGCAATTACCAATTTAATTGGTGCCGGCGGGGATCGAACCCGGGTATTTTGAAATTTACAGCTTGCGCTAACCATTTGACCTACGACGGCTTAATATAATACACACACAATATTTAAATATAATTTTTTAACACTAAATCATACACACGTAGGAAAATAACAGAAAGAAAAGTAACTTTGTCAATAGAATAAACACTTACATCCATGGCCTTTGATGCGTTGAAGTAACACAAATGTAGTATTGATGGATCCACTGCGGTCAAACAACCATACACTAACTCCATGACTGCACTTGCTTGGTCTCATATAGTACCAGTAAGTAATAAATCTAATCTAAAGAATTTCTGCAGTGGAATTGATAGTAACTTTATGCGTCAACAAGCTTATCTCACATTTTGTTGCTTATCTCAACATTACTTCATGTCGCGTCTTGTTTAGTGTATTTATGACTCAAATAGGTTTTGTATAACACAAAAATATTGCAATTTAATATTTAGAAATCATTATAATTGATGATTCCTATATTAGTCATTGAGTAGATTGTACTGTAATAATCTACTAATAGCAGTAATATCATGGATACGCTAGATGTACAACAACATCTGAAAAAGATTCACCCCAGTCTAGAAAATAATGTTTATGCTGCCAATAGACTACCCATGTACACCCACGTGGCAACGTATATAATATGCAATTTGGATACAGATGATAAACCAGGGTCACATTGGGTAGTTTTATATATCGATACGAATGACGTCGGTCAATATTTTGATTCATACGGACGAGCACCTGTACGATATCATCTAGAGCTTTTAAAAAGGAATTGTAAAAGATGGAACGGGAATGTTGATAGGATTCAGAATGAGTGAACTTCAGTTTGTGGCGAATATTGCTTAATATATTTGCTATATAAGTTTCAGGGATGTCCAATGCATAGTTTTACGAGTATATTTACAGGGAATACATTGTACAACGATATTTTAGTGGATGAGATGTTTCGCTCCTATTTTATAGATAATAAGTAATAGGATTTTGTATTTCGTAAATAAAAATTGTAACAAAATTAGGTAATGTATTTTATTGATGATTCAGATTACCGTTGCAGTTAGGAACAAAGGAGTACAATATAATAGTACTGATAATCCGACGCACGAATAGACAATGACGGTATTCAATGAACAATAGATAAATAACAATGGGGCGCTAATGACGGTGGAGGCCCTCACCGGATATCAATTAGATAAGAGTTAATTGATCTTAACATCTCCGGAACCGTGCATCCTACGCAATAACGGACCGCAGATTCGTGATCAGAGCATGCCAAAATCTTTTCTTTTTTTAGGATCGTGAGTCTCGACGAACGTTGTACCACTTCTGAATCAGTGAGCCAGAACTGGTAGTAACTAACTACTATTTATCCAGCCCAACCAAATGTGATTACTCTATCAATAACCCCCAAAATAATAATAATAATAATAAGGCGTAGGGAAGTGACGACCCCATCGCCCGCTGACGAAACAGTTAAGTGACAAAACTGCTACGTCGGTGCAGTCAGTCAGCGCCTTGCCAGGAGGTGTGAGCGCCGTGCCTCGGCAGTACTCAGGGTGCAAACACCCGTTTGTGCTCACGGTCGTACAATGATACAATGAAACGGTGCTGGGCCTGGGCGTATCCCGTTAATTGTCGCCCAAAAATGGATGATGGATTTTAATAGAAAGCGTATAGGGCCGCTGCCTGGGGGTCGCCTGGGCGTGTCTAGAGCTGGCGCTGTACGCGGCAGCATGTGGGCCACCAGCTGAGCGCGAGGAGCTGCAAGATCACCTAGCAGCCTCCTGCATCCATCATCCTCACCAGACGGCAGTGATGTCGGCAGGGTCCTCTCGGACTCGGCAAGCGGCATCCGCCACTGGTGGTGTGCGCCGCATGCGTTGGAAATGAACGCAAACGCATTACGGGTGTACTATAGACCGAAAGGGGAAGTAACTACAGGGATAGCGTATCGGACTCGGATGCTTTGCTTTTTTGCTGAGCTGGAGCCGTCTATTCCCGTCACGGAACAAAACCTGACAGACCGATTTCGGTACATCATACGCTCGAAAAATATTTGATGATGCTGAGCTCGAACAACTACGACGTGAGGCTATTCCCTCATCGAATGAATTGGCTACGGCTGGGGATGCGGCTCCTCAGGCGACAGACCAGCTGCCACGCGTAGAAGCCGCCATGGATCTTCCAGTTGTGGTTGATTCGGACGATGATGAAATGGTCTCCCACGAACTAGAGCAAATGAGGAGTATATTGGAAGAGGCGATTTTGGAAACGCGCAGCATGCCTCTCGAAAATCGACCGCAACTTCCCCGCATACCCCTAAGCAAGCGAAATCGGGCTATCGTGAGGGCTCTTAACCAAATGCTGGTAACCTATTTGGAAGCCAGCCGGGACCTTTGCGAGACGAACTCAGTACTTTTTTGGCGCTGCAGTGGCAGCTTGCCGTATTATTGGCGCCAAACTTCCCATGGCTGGACGCGCTACTAAACAAAGTAGCGTCATTCCAGCTTGGAGAAAAAGAATTGAGGACCGTATCGCAAAGGCAAGGGCCCTTATCGGCAGACTGACAAGCTTCAGGTCGGGTAATAATAGACCGAGGGTTGTGCGTACCGTTACAATGGCGTTTGCTGAGACAAATATCAGTTTGTCCCAGCCGGATATCACGCAGAAACTAACGGAGCGCATAGACGACCTGAAGCAAAAGATCGCTGCTTGGGGGAAGCCGATTCGCGGATTTACCGAGAGGTCAAGGCGGTTCAACCAGAATCGTCTCTTCCAAAGTGATCAGAAGAGGCTCTACAAATCATTGGAGCTACCAGAGGTATGTGGAGCGGGCCCAGGGCCGGATCACGCTAACACTGTCGCATTTTGGCGTGGCCTGTGGTCAGAGTCCGTAAACCACAGCGAGGGCCCTTGGACGGAAGTTGTGGCGAGTCAATATGCGAGTGTTACGCCCATGGACCCCGTCATCATAACACCGGGTGACGAAGCTGAGGCGGTCCGTAGAGCCCCGAAATTTAAAAGTCCGGGACTCGACGGGCTGCATCACTACTGGCTGAAGGGGTTCGTGGTGTGTCACGCTGTGCTCGCCCGTTAATTTCAGGAGGCTCTCAACCAGAAGTCGCTCCCTAGTCTCTTTACTACTGGGATCACTCATTTGGTTCCTAAAGACAAGGTTACCCCAGATCCGAGCAAATATACTAACATAAATACACTGACATCCATTTTGGGCGCGAGAATAACTCGTCACCTGGAGCTAAATCAGGTGATCTCAGGCGCTCAAAATGGATGTTGGGGCAGTGATCGTGGAACTAAGGAACCACTCCTCATTGACGCGGTCATTGGCAAAGTGGTGAAACGCAACCGTCGGAACTTCTCCACCGCCTGGATAGACTACAGAAAGGCATTCGACTCAGTGCCCCATACATGGCTAAAGATAGTCCTCGAGCTGCAAAAGATAGACTATACAGTGAGAGACTTCCTCGAGCAGTGTATGGGGCAGTGGAGTACGATCCTTTGTCATCTGGGTGAGCGGATGATGGCTGCGGAGAACCACATAAGGATAAGAAGGGGTATCTTCCAGGGCGATTGTCTGAGTCCAATCTGGTTCTGCCTCTCTCTGAACTTCCTCAGTACCTTACTTGTGGGTTCCCGGAGGGGATTTCAGCTACGGAAAGGAGGGACAAAAGTGACCCACCTTTTCTATATGGATGACCTCAAGTTATTCACCTCCAGTCGCTCCCATCTTATGGAATTGCTAAAAATCACTTGTGAATTTAGCAATTCCATTGGAATAGAGCTGGGGACGGATAAGTGTGCGGTCCTCCATGTTGAAAGGGCAAGGGTTGCTAACTCTGAGGGCAAAGATTTATCTTTGCACCTTAAATTTAGGGACCCTTTCCGAGGCTGAAATATATCGATACCTGGGTATGTCATAGAACATCGGTATCGATGAGGCTGGTATGAAACAGTCAGTTTGCGACGTATTTTATGCACGCTTGACCAAAGTGCTTAATAGCCTTTTGCCCGGTGTGAATAATATACACGCATATAACGGTTGGGTCATGCCTGTCCTTATGTATACCTTTGGCATACTCAGGTGGACTCAGACTGAACTTAACGCCCTGGATAGAAAAGTTCTCACTACCATGACGTCCCATAGGATCATCCGAGATCGTCGGTAATGAGGCTGTACTTGCCGCGGAAGCGTGGTGGGCGTGGCTTTCTGAGCGTGCTCACCATGCATAATCGTGAAGTGTGCAGCCTCCGTCATTACTTCCTGGCGAGATCGGATGATCCATTCTATAACGACGTTATTTCTAGTGATAAAGGGCTTACCCCTCTATCCTTAGCCAACGAGCAATGGCAAGACCCAGCAGTGCTTAGCATTTCCGACCGGAAGGCCGTATGGAAGGAGAAGGAGCTCCACGGGAGGTACTACAGGGCTCTACATGAGCCCTTCGTAGATACAGTCGTCTCCCTCAACTGTCTAGGTTTCGGTGACCTATTCGGGGGAAACTGAGGGTTTTGTCTGTGCAATACAGGATCAGATTATTAAGACCAACAACTATCGGATATACATCCTAAAGGATGGCACCATCGACATCGGTCGAGCTTGTCGCCATCCCGGTGAGTCGCTGAGGCATGTTATCTCCTGTTGCTCGGCGCTTTCTAACTCTGAGTACTTGCACAGACACAACCTAGTAGCCAGAATTTTACATCAGGAGCTCGCTCTGAAATAGGGTCTCGTGGACCGGAAAGTGCCGTATTACAAGTACTTGCCGGAAGCCGTGCTCGAAAATGACCGCATCAGGCTCTACTGAAACCGGGCCATCATCACAGACAGGACTATTCTTGCGAATAAGCATGATATTGTGCTGGTGGACCGGGTACAGTCAAGGATATTTTTGATCGACATTACCATTCCATATGACGAGAACCTCGTGAAAGCCGAAACATATAAGCGAACAAAATATCTGGACCTGGCTCACGAGGTGGCTGACATGTGGGGTGATCTTCCGGTCGAAATTATTCCTGTAGTCGTCTCTGCGAATAGGCTAGTCCCAGTCAGCCTCTCGGGTCATCTGAGGCGACTGGGACTCCATGACGGAGCGCTCCGGGCTCAAATGCAAAAGGCGGTACTCCTCGACACCGCCCGCATCGTCCGCCGGTTTCTTTCCATTTCCCCCTAACCCTCGGCCGTTTGGTCTCCCCTGCTGAGGGCTTCCATCTGGTTGGATCTTATTTATTTATGTATTTTTTGTATTTATATTATTTTATTGATGTTTATGTATATTTATCTTTTCATTTTAATTTATAATTATATAATTATTGAACCCAACCAGTTGAGAAAATTATATAGATACCCCAAAATTAATAATAATACAATAATACAAATTATGGATATGGAAAATATGGATGTGAAGGAGGCGAGAGAGGTGTGTCAGGATCGTGCCAAATGGAAGTCTGTAGTCTCTGCCTACCCCTCTGGTTGACAGGCGTGAGTGTTTATGTGTTATATTTTTATGTATATAAAATATTTAAACCGGTACCAGGGAGCAGTACCAAATGTTCAAAACATTAATTTGATACGGAGATCAACAGTTATGGAAAATCCTCGTTTTTTATAAAGGATTGAGAAAAGCGACACAATTCACATGATTGAATAGATTACTTTCATATAGACATCTATCCGAATAAAAATTCAGGTGAGTTGTCACCTTTAAGGCCTCAGATGTAATACCAGATTTTCCCTTACCCGGTCAATTTGAAGTATTAGTTTCGTTAATAAAATAATAGTCCAGTAATAGAAAATAGTTCACTTTATGGTAATTGGATGTTGTGGTCCCTAGATATTTATGTCTATCTTTGATTAAAGATCAAAATGTATATGAGTTGTCATCCCTGAAGAGTGAGATGTAACGCCTTATTACTGTAGTATTCACCGAGGATCCAACCATAACCATATATAATATTATATTAGGGAGCAAAATAACACACGTCCGTTCAGCTTAGAAGCTTAATCCGAGAGCGCGAGCAACATAGCAATCATGTAGGTATTTTACAATTGCGGTAATGCCATACTTAAAATTAACTACGCTAAAATACAGATATATTACAATTACAAGTATAAGGGGTCTCCGATTCTCCGCGCTCTCAATACGACATACACAAGCAAGTCGTAAGCTGCTATCACCCCTAAGATACCGTGGACATGTTGACAGGTCCAAGTTTTGTGACCGCTATGTACAGAGGACATGTATACATGTCCGCATTACGTTCTGCTATTTTCGTCATTAATTGATATAAAAATACAGTATATTTTAAATTTAACACAATTTCATTCGATTTTGAACGAACTCACTCGGTTACATAGACATCATCAAATATAACAGCCATTCGCTTTTGCGTGCCGGTGCGGTTGGTTGCGTAATCGTTGAAGTTTTGTGATTGTGATTTTAGTTGGATTTTCTTTCAAAAAAACTGTAAGTAATGTTATTTATCCTTACTACGTAATGTTTTTGAATGACTTAAGTTACAACAACAGTAACTTTTTATGTTTCAATTGATAAAAAAGTAGAAATAAAAAACCACTACGCGAACAATTCGTAACGGTCAAGATTTCTAATAAGATAATAATAGTATATTTCTTATTAGAATACCATAGTAAATACTTTTACTAGTAATTGCTATATGTTATATCTATATAATTGTATAAGAAAAATAAAGGAAGACTATATAAAATATATACACAAAAAGGTTTTGAACATGAGTTTAGTAAGCGCGCGCAAACTGTCTATTGTCGAATTTTTAGCAAATGTTTGCAAGTGAAAAAGTAGAATTATTATAATTATTACATGCATAAGTTCGGTTCATTTAGGAAGAATATGTTGTATTGATTGTAAGGACATAAAAATAAAATAAAAACTTACGATATTTCATTCATAAAATAAAATTTATCGTCAGTAAGTACACTTTATCAAGATCCGTTAGAAACAAAGAGCTGAACAAAATAAAATAAACATTTATATGTTATGGTTATTGTTTCTACTTATCGAAAATCTTATCAGCTTTAAATAACTGTAACTAAGACCTCTTTAAAAATAAATGAAAGGTCGTGAGAAACATAAACAAGTGCCGCCAGCTGAGGTGACGACGGACGCCTCGGTACAAAGCTGTTTTTTGTTATGGCGGGCGCAGTGAGTGATAGGTTAAGCTGGTGTTCTTTGAGAACATGGTCCATTCTCGGTCGAGCAGGCATAATATAGCCACATTTTTTCTCTTACATGTCGAAAAGTAAGGGAAAACAAAAGTATAGAAAATAAAACAGAAATTGCTAAAACAAAAAGGTTCCAGCAATATTGAGTTTTCTAATGGAACCTTTCTAAAACAAATCACTTGGGCTTTAAAAGGATATTAAAATATGAGGTGCCAGTTTTTTTCTCAGTTCATGTTTATTAAGGTCGTTTTTGTTACCATCAGCCGTTTTAGGGTTCTGTTATCGAGTGGCCTGTAGGGTAAATGGGATCCTTTTATTTTCGTTTTATCTCCTGTGTACTTAAAGGTATAAGCTATAGTCATATAACTTTTTTTTATAAGGTTTATTCTAGTTTTCTTCGTGATGATATATATTTATAAGATATTTCTATTACATTGCAAATTCGACTATGTTGTGGATGTATAAGAATATCCACTACATTATGTCGTCACGGCAGAGTCGTAAGTCCGTAAGCAGCGTCTTCTTCATAACAAAGAAACTGCGGTTTCAGTCCGGTTCGTTAAGTGTGGCAGCTATGACAAATATCCCCATTATGATGTAATCTAAACTTATGTTCATCAGTTGACTTTTAATAGGCTTTAAAATAAAGGTTACTATTATGTTGAAGCGGGGAACAGTTGAATAGGTTTTTTTTTGTAACCATATATAATTATACCTTCTAGACTATTGATCAATCATTCAAAATCAAATTACTGCCGTTTGAGTTTGAAAATTAAAGAGGTATCATCAGCAAATAATTCTATATCGTGGTTGTTGAGGATGGAAATACAGCGGAGCTTCTGAAAACGGGTGGAAAACTGGTACTTGAAGTCATTCAG